TAGGAAGACCACTAATGGGTTGGTACCTAAATATAATTCTGAAGATTTGGAAAACTTTTCTGACTCAATTTGCTGTGGAGTTATAGAGGAATTGCTGAATATAGATGAATTTCCAAAGATGAGAGGTCCGTATCGAGTATCTATTAAGTTGCCAAATTTACAGAGAAAGCTGAAGATTTTGACTATCCTCTGGGGGACCTTAGGAGAACATATAGATAGCCTGCTATTTTTTTGGAGGAAACAGAATGAGACCTGTTTGTGACTATGTAACCATCTGGTACAGGTCATGTCCATCCCACATGAGATGACACAGTGGGTAAAAAGCTGACTACTTTGAACAGAAGGGAGGTAACTAATCATGGGCAGCATTTACTCCAGAGGGTCCGTCTGGTTGGCTGAAGCTTTGTGAGGCCTGCACTGCAGTTCAAACACTTCCTCTGCTTAGTCTTGCTTCCTCCCCTTCCTTTCACAGACATTGATCCTTAATAGACGTCTCTTTCCCCAAGTTCTATTCCAGCATCTATTTCTAGAAAGCCCAGTGGGTGACACCATTGCAATCAGCTTGGTCTTAATCACTTCAGTGAATCTTTCTAAGGTTACCAATTATCTACATATTGATACATCAAATAGGCATTTCTCAGCTGTCAATTTACTTCGCTTCTTATGGTATTTTAAACAGTTATTAAGAAAAAATTAAACTTGCAGCCCACAGAATTAACATGCTCCTTGCAGGTAAATCATTCTTTTATTCTTTGGTTATTAAATGTATAATGAAAGGCTTCAAATACCACATATGGTCTAGGAATATAAAAAACAAGACAGAGTCTTTGTTTTCCAGGTTTGTTTAATGATGTCTCATTGGACACAGAGAATGAAAGTGCAGAAACGGAACAACTTCTGGATGTCTAGCTTTAGTGCCTGGATGATAGAGATGTCACTGAGGTAGAATCTGCAGGAAGGGTAATTAGTTAAAGCGGAAAAGAGGAAGAGTCAATTTTGAGTCTTACAAGTAAAGGTACTTGCAGGATATCACAAAAGGTGACTTTAGAGTAACTGTTGCAGAGATAAAATTGCTCTAAGTTGAAGATTGAATGTACCTTAAGAATATGGCAAAGGGCTTGGCGCCCGTAGCACAGTGGTTATGGCACCAGCCATATACACTGAAGTTGGTGGGTTTGAACCCGGCCTTGGGCCAGCTAACCAACAGTGACAACTCTAACAAAAATAACTGGGCATTGTGGTGGGTGCCTGTGGTCCCGGTTGCTTGGGAGGCTGAGGCAAGAGAATCATTTGAGCCCAGGAGTTTGAGGTTGCTGTGAGCTGTGACACCACAGCACTCTACCGAGGGTGACATGGTGAGACTCTGCCTAAATATATATATATATATACATATAATAAATATAATATATAGCAAAGAATGCACAGGGATGAGGGATTCCCAGGCCCAGCAGAGCATCAAACTCAGATTTAGAGTTAATAAAAAATGATTCCAAAGTTCTTTCCTCCACTATGATTCAGACTCAGTAGATCTGAGGAGGAGGAGTCCCTCTTGACAAAGCCTTCAGCAATACTGTGTTCAGTGTAGATTCTCTGGAAGGCAGACACCAAGGTAGACTGAAAAGGCAAGGGGTTTCTTCTGGTGGGCAGTGAACATGTGTGAGGGAAAAGGAGGAGGGAGCCAAAGCCGGCTGCAGGAGCCAAAGCTGGCTGCAGGAGCTAGCAGACGGCAACACCAGTCTGCCCCAGTGCGGGTAGAAGTGTCTCAGGGCACTGCGCAAGGTGAGAAATGTTCAGCAAGCTTGTCAGGGAGTCTTCAGATTAAAAACAGCCACACAAAGAGCTCTGTATCTCTCAGAAAGAGGCCTGCCTTTGTATCCCTGCCCCATGCACAATCATTGGCTAGAGCAGGTTGTGGGAAGCCTCATCTTGACACAAACGTGGTGGAGGATTTCCAAGCATAGAAGCTGAAGCCTTTGGTCAATTAAATTCCTCATAGCTGGAGGTCTTTGAGGCACATTCTCCTGGAAAACACATGTACCCTACCATTTTAAGACAATGTGATAAGGAAAGGAAGATAAAAACAAGCCGCAGTTGGAGTGGTATTTAGGTCAAAGGCAAGTCATCATGTTGTTTTTCAAATAGGAAAGTTTGTGATATCTCTGTAAGCCTAGAGAAGGAATCTGTGCAACTGAGATAACCAAGCAAGTGGTACCTTCATAACTGTGGCTGAAGTACAAATGGCATATTCAATAAAAATTCTTCTTGCTAAGGTAGTCTTCTGAGATACCAGTTAAGGAGAGAGACCATTTTCTATGTTCAAATTTTCAAAACTTTATAAAGATAATCAGAATTTCATAAGAGGTAGGAAGTGGTTTTGTATATTCATTTTCTATGATACCTAATAATGTACCAATTAAACCCAGACTTCATATTCACATCTAAGGAATACAGCAGAACTACCAGAGAAATTAAAGATTAAGAAGAGGGAGGGAGGGCCAAAAGGAGAGATGGTTGGAGAGAGGAAGAGGAGGGAGAGAGAATATGAAAGAATGAATTGTGGAGGAAGACAGCTCCAGAAAAGGTGGGAAGAAATGGGATCAAAAGGTGTGGTTTTTAATCTGAGATGTGGTTTTGAATCTGATATCTTACAATCTTTGGGACAGTGTCTGGATATAGGTTAAGACTGAGGATTGTTGGGAGTCAAAGGAAATGCGCTGGGTTATCTCAGTTTCTACCACCAAATAAGAGGCAAATTACCAAAAAGCACTGCTAGAAGGTTTACTTTTAAACAAGGAGGTACCCTATCTTCTAAGGCTGAGCAAAAAGAGGTAAGGATGGGTCCAGAGAAAGACTCTTCTGTAGATATAGGATCGAGTTAACGGAGCAGAAGAATGATGACTTTAATTTTTTTTAATGATGTAGGAGGCAAGGTTATCTGCTGAAGGTATTTATTTGCAGCTCATCTCACATAACTTACATACTTAAAACTATAATAAAAATAATATTTAGGTAATGAAAATTAATATTTCAAATTTGTCTTTTATATTAAGATCATTTTCTATTATATAAATCTTCCATAGATATGTATGTGACTGTTTCTTGGTGTATTAACCAACTCTGTGAAATATTCTCTTGATCTAACTTGGAATTTTAAAAACTTACACTGTATTGAATTTATGCTATTCTTTTTTTTTTTTTTGAGACAGAGTCTCACTATGTTGCCCTCTGTAGACTGTTGTAATGTCATGGCTCACAGCAAACTTAAATTCCTGGGCTCAAGTGATTCTCTGGTCTCAGCCTCCCAAGTAGCTAGGACTATAGGCGCCCACCACAGCACCTGGCTATTTTTAGAGATGGGGACTCCGTCTTGCACAGGCTGGTCTCGAACTCCTGAGCTCAAGCAATCTGCTCATCTCGGTCTTCCAAAGTGCTAGGATTATAGATGTGAGCCACTGCGCCAGGCCTGAATTTATGCTATTCTCAATCAGAAAAAAAATTACTGAAACTATCCTGTCTGTGTATGTATATGTATGTGAGTGTGTGTATTTATACCAAGTTGAAAAAACGAAACCACTTTTGAACCAGGTAATTTTATCTAGTATTAAAAGAAATTCATCACATGGGCATAGACTGGCTAACCCTATTTAAAAGAAAACGTCAAAATATTTCATAATTGGAGGGAATCTTTGAGAGCAGTAGTTGTTTTGTTTTGTTTTGCAGTTTTTGGCTAGGGCTGGGTTTGAACCCGCCACTTCTGGTATATGGGGGCCAGCACCCTACTCCTTGAATCACAGGTGCCACCTGAGAGCAATAGTTTCTAATCTCGGGGATTTAGACCCCATAATCTATATACTAAGCAATGGAAAGTGATGACCTATTTTCAAATTTCAAAGCACCTAATGGGAATCCCACTTCACCCTGTGAAAGTTTTGAGTTCCTTTAGTTATTTGAAATTTTTCAATTTGGTAGGGCCACTTCAGAAACACTGATGAGCTTTTGGAGTATTAAAATGTAGATGATACATTAATCACTATTTAATCAATGAGTTTTAAAAGTAAACAAAAGTTTCTGAAACATAAAGCCTGAGGTAATTGGTAGTGAAATTAGTTGGGGAAAAACTGACTTGGTCTAATCCTGTAAATTACAGATGAGGAAACCGAGAGGATAAATAATTTATTCCATATCACATTATGGTTCATTGGTAGGAGCCAGCATTAGAATTTGGCCATTTTGTATCTTAGAAGTTGTGAAAAAATTATTGAATGTATTATTTTCTAAGGTGTTTTCCATTTTTTATCATAGTGGTTAGTGTTCTCAGCATTGGAAACCCAAATGCTTTACATTTTGTTTTGGGGGTTGCTTCGGAAATGGATACAAGCAGTCCCTGAGTTACAAACATCCGACTGACATCTGACTCACACCTAAGAACGGAGGCTATTACAGGTAATAGATAAATGTACTTGTTCCAACATACATACAAATTCGATTTCGGAACAAAGCTACAGAACCTATCTCCCTTGTAACCCGGTACTGCCTACTCTGAAGACTAAGGTTGATTACTTTGTACTCCCTCTGCTGGCCAACTTTCTGGTAAAGTGGTTAAAAAAAAGTTCTGTAGAACTAATTGAAAACAAAAACCAAAATTTTAAAAGCAGGTGCTATGAAATTCTATTTAGCTTCAAGGTTCACTCTTCCATTCTTCATAATTGTAGGGTTGTCCTCATTCAGAACTACTCTAGTTAATATGTACTTTAAACAGTACAGAATTAAACTGTTAGCAAATGAATCTGTGAAAAGAAAATGTATTTTTGGCTCTTCTGTAGTCTTAGGTGTCCATACTACATGCATAATATTCTTATCAAATAATTAACATATATACACAATTAACAAATAAGACCAAACTTTATACAAAAGTTCTGCAACTACTATAATTTTTGAAAACATTTAACATTTAATAAGACAGCACTGCCTTATTAAAAAATAGATAATTTCCATAGAGAATATAAGAAGTAATCACAATTAGAGGTATAAACAATAGTTTTCCTTTTTGTAAAGTGTTTTAAATTTCTCTTCCTTATATTCTTTATTCTTCTTCCTTATGTTTGTTTCAGACAGGATAGTCATTTCTTCTTGAACAAATTTCCTCTTTTTTTTTTTTTTTTGAGTAGGGGGAATTGTTTACTGATGATCTAAAAGAGGTGTCTTCATAATTGTAGCCAAAGCAGAATGGGGTATTCAATAATTCTTTATATCTCATTAATATAGTCTTCTGAGACACTGATGAAACAGACAGATCATTTTCTATGTCCAAATTTTCAAAAGTTTACAAATATAATAGGGATTTCATGACAAATGGCAGTAAGTAGTTTTGTGCACTCATTTTCTGTGATACCCAATAACGTGCCAGTTAAAACCCAGACTTCATATTGGCAACTAAGGAATATAGCAGAATGACCAAAGCTGAGTGCTAGTCATTGTCATAGATGCAACCTGAAAGAAAAAAATACAAATTTAAAAATAGTTACATACAACGTACTCTCTAAGTGTTCCAAGGTTGGAAATATGGGTGATTCATACTTTTCTGGTTTAGGATAAAGAAAAGTAGAAGTGGCTAATTTATAAAAAAACAAAAAAATCAGTTAAATAGAAATCCGTATGTTTAACTTTCATTGTTTGGTACACAATTCCAACAAAATTTCTGGACAGATGTATTTTTTATCAAAATGAGACTCAAGATGAGTTTATTTTATCTGGCACTTAATCATATGTATTTTTTGATAGCCAATCTGTAGGACGTTGAAAATATTAAATATCAACAAGAATTATAAAGTTAAAGCACCAAACGGCAACATGATTAGCACAATGCTCTGTTTAGGTTAGATTATTTTTTAGAACGTAATTTAGGTACATATGATGTTTAGAGAATACCAGAAGTATTAGTTCTAAAATACAAGTAAGTACCTATTTCTTGGCCAAGAATGCAAATCTAGTTGGATAAAAGAAATTCTCAGTGCAATGAAAAATTTACCAAATATTTTTATATTTCTGTTTTTAAAACAAATAAAGCATTTTTTCTTGATTTCAGCTCTGTGTGAAATATGTTTTTTTTCCTTCTCCCCATTATGCCCAGGCATTTACCTTTTCTAATATTTTCAAGTGATTAAAATTCTGATTAGACTGGAAGGCTCTAATTAATCCCACAAGCTATTTTTAGTATTTGTAAAAACATTAAATTCACTGTTACTATTCTCTGTGGTAGTGCTGTATGACACCTACCATCAGCAATGTCATCATAGATCTCTCCGTCATCTCCATCACTGTAAAAAAAATAATGTTATTTAAAAAAGTCTTTTTAACAGTAAAGCAATATATAGAATAAAAAAGCAATAGTATGATTAAACATAACACAATTAGGCTTTAAAACATTATTCACTTATACAAGGTAATAAATGTCTTATTCATCATCTCTTGTTTCATTGCCTTAATCTAATCCTCTATTTTATTTTATTTGTATATATACACATATTTTTTTCTTTTTTTGAGGCAGAGTCTCACTATGTTGCCCTCGGTAGAATGCCTTTGCATCACAGCTCACAGCAGCCTCAGACTCTTGGGCTCAAGCCATTCTCCTGCCTCAGCCTCCCAAGTATAGCTGGGACCACTGTCTCCCACCACAATGCCCAGCCATTTTGTTGTTGTTGTTGCAGTTGTCATTGTTGATTTTAGCTGGCCTGGGCTGGGTTCGAACAGGCCAGCCTTGGTGTATGTGGCCGGCACCTTACCCACTGAGCTATGAGTGCCACCTAATCCTCTGGTTTAGTCGACACACAGAACAATGGAAGCACGCCTGGAGCACAGACTACACCTTACATTTCTTTGTAAGAAATGTTGAACAGAGCGGTCATGATGTAATACTTTATGGGTGGTCTTAATTTAAAACTGGACTTTCATATCTATTAACATCAGATTCATACTTCCAACTTGAATTTCAAATATTGAACAGAATACAGTAATATTTGACACAGTGTCTCCATTGTTTTCATGTTTCTAATTATAATTTTAAAATATTATAAAATATGTAAATATTAGTTACAGAATAAGTAGCCAAATTATAGTCATTATAGTGATTGTTATATGATTCAAAAAATATTACTTATACTTATAGATAGCATCCACGATAATAGTTTTGGCTACTTTTACACACACGTTAGGTCTTGCTCAGCCCTGAATCTTTGTGAAATGTGGTATTTAACAAAAAGATCAAGTCCCTTCTATCTACCAGGAGACAGAAATATTAATAAGACCCAAACTCTGATTGGAAGTACCTTATAATCTAACGGGAGAGGGACATATGAGTAATAAAAATAGAAAGCATTATAAATATTAACAGAGTCTTAAAATGTAAGTGTTTGGACACACTTTCAAAGTTCAGAAATGTAAGCTGGCTTTGTTGCTTAGACTGCCTCTGTGCTCTACCATGGAGGCACCAGCAGGCCTTTCAAGTCGCTGCCAACTGTGGCAGATGCTGTGAGTTCCCTGTGTCTTCTGTTTTGATCCTTTTTCCGAGATTGAGGGAGTGTTTGGCTAATGGAAATCTGATACCAATGCAAAGAGGACAGATTTTCCTGTGACTCATTCAGAAAACATTTATTAAGTATTCAATTCAATAAGTGATGAACCAATAATTACTTAGAGAGTATACTTTCTAAATTCTCTCTTACTCCGTCTGTAATAATCACTGATGAAGATGGGCCTATAGTTTGCCACACAGTCTTTGGTGAAAATTTAATGTTTCAGGGGAAAAAACCTATTGCAGAGTCCCAAGATCAATGCATGCAAAGGGAAACAAAGGCATTGCAATTCTTTTTCTTTTTGTTATTTCAAATTAATATGAGGGATTAAATTTTTAGGCTACATTGTCCTCACTCTTAAGGTAAAGTTCAAGCTGTAGAAGAGCCCCCGACCCGGGGTGGGTGTGTGCTAAATACCCTTGAATTGTGGAGAATTCTCAAAGAACTAAAAGTTGACCTTCCATTTGATCCTGCAATCCTATTACTAGAAATCCACTCAGATTATCGTTCTTTTGACTCTCTACTCATTTGCTGACAGAGCTCTTAACATTGATTTGTCTCTTTCCGATTAGTGTCAGGTTGTTTATGGATACAATTTTGTGAATCCTGCAGCATCACTGCATTGTGCCAAATCCCATACATTTTTTGCATTGGCGTATGACCTAACCAGATAAGGGAGTTTAGTTTTTGCACTGGGTTACTTGGGACAGAATCTTATAATGTTTCGGGGACTCCAAAGGCACACTAGTACCAGACAGTGCCAATGTCTCATTCATAGGAATAAAAGAATCATTGACCACTATCTTTTTTCTGGCATGCTTCCAAAAAAGGCAACATAATACTCACTATGCCTACTGTGAGTGAAAAAAAGCCCTCAATTAGGGAATAAACCACAAACTGTTAACAGGTGATATCAGCACCTACTGTGCAGACACTAATTGGTCGTGAATTAATTCAGTTCAACCAAGTGCATTAGCAAATGAAATACAAAGTATTCAGGAAAAGATTAGTATTTCTGGCCTGTTTTCAGTGTTTATTGAGAGCAGAGGGAATATATAAAATTATAGACTATGAACTGTATAATCACGCATGAAATGGGCTGTTTGCCTATTAAAAAGAGGAGCATGTTATCAAAACCACAACTTGATGGATACTACCGTGTTGACATATACTATATTGTTTTCAAATGTACTTATGATAGTTCAGTAGGTTACATTATTTAAATGGTATTAGCAATCTTTTTTCAATGAAAAGCACACAATTATTTTTACAAGTCTAGTAACAGAAGAAAGTGGGCTTACTTGTCTACCAGATGACTCCGAAGGACATACCCATCTATGAAGGAGAAAGAAAATACATCTTATTACTAGTACAGTTCTATTCCCTTCTTTATCTTGCCTGCTGAAGAGTTCTAAGGAGCAGCTTTCTCTTTTGACGTGTAAGGAAAAGCTTTCTCTTTTCTCTGTTGTGCGTTTATGTGAGATACCTAAAGATCAATGATAGGGAATGTTGTTTAAGAAAAAATGTATTAAGGAGATTTAGCGTGAATGGTAGTACTGTGATGCTGAAATGTTTCCAGAGACGATGTGATAAGATGGGCCTCGTTAGCTCTAAAATCACTATTATATAGTACTCTTACAGGGTAAATGACTTCTAGTACAGCATAGATCTTGCTGTCTAATACCATTAAGAATCTTTGCTAAAGTTTCATCTATTAAAAGCATGGTTCATGACCCTGTCAGAACAAATGACTTACCATACATTTTTGTATCATCTCTCCATTATAGTTTCTAGAAACAATTTTTTTGAAGTGGGAAAACATTCTTTTTAGTCACATATTACGTGTACGTTTGTCATAGGGAATGTTAGTGAAAAATACAACCGAAGGAAATAAACAAAAAAAAAAAAGAGAATGTTCTGTACCACGTAGAGTGGCGACTATGTTTAGTTAGCCCCATAATATCGTGAGTTCTTGGCACACCAGAGATTCTCCCAAGTCAAATGAAATTATTATTTGGGAATCTCACATTCACAGAGCAGAACACAGTGGCTTGAAATAAATGTTTTGAAATACGTAGTAGGGTAGAGCTAGTTAGGAAAGTAACACCCACACGCCATATGTGCCAGTTAATTTCTCCCCCAAATGGTCGCTTGCTGCAGTGCAGATGTGTCTCGGAGCTAATGACTCACCTTTTAGAGGGGTGGTGTAAATACGGAGTTACCAAAAAAACCTTGGGAAAGATGCAACTTACCGTCATTCCAATATTTTCAAATTTTTTCTTGTTAAAAATGACAAAGAGGTGGCCAAGATGCAGAGAATATTTTGTAAGTTTTTGTAAAATTTTGTAATAAATATTTTGTAAGTAAAGGTACGTTTAGCTACAATGTCCCATCTTCCCGACATAGGGTGACTTTAGGGTGACTTTGGGGACATCTTGTAGACTATTTCATCATTATTTCATTTGTTGTGGGCAAGTCCAGAACTAAAGTTAAACTTACTCCAATTGGCCTCATGCATTTAACAATAAGTTGCATAGATTTACCCAGGCAGGTGGAACAATGTTCAGCTTCAAGGAAAAATGTTCATAATAGGAGAAAAAGAAAAAACAAAATATGGTGTATAATACTGAGTATAAATTATTATCCTAGGTTTAATAGAAATGTTCTCTCTCTGTTTTCTTTCTCTTTATGTTGTTTCTGGGTTTTTTTTTGTTTGTTTGTTTATTTGTTTGTTTTATTTCAGGTTAATGTGAGGGTACAAACAACCTAATCATGGTATTTGAATTTCTTAGGTAGAGTCCCTCTTGCAGCGGTGTCCTGCACTGTTTCTGGAGTTTTATACCTGAGTGACTTGTAAAATTTCTAAATTGAAAACATTTTTCTTCAGTGAGCATGCATTGTTTTAAAACTGAAAAAAAAAATATTACTTAAGTAAAGACATGATCAACTAGGTTTGGGAAGATCTAAAGCGCCTTTAAAATCCCTCTTTCTTTGGTGTGTAAAGGAAAAGGAGAGCATTTTGGCCACCGATAACTCAGCTCTTATCTCGTTCCACATTTTTGGTAGGAAATTTTTCGCCAGTGACAGGAGGTTGAAAAACTCACAGCATATGAAACATTCAGTTGTGGAATATGTGCAAATATTAGCAAGAAATCCTAAACATTCGGGAATGTCCCAGAAATAGATATTTAAAACCTCAATGCCTAATACTACATGGGTCTACAAGTCAGGGAGGGAGACTTGATCAAATGTGGTAATATCTGTAGAAGTGGCTTGTGCTCCACTCACAATGATAAAGGATCAATGTTCATGGTATTCATTTATTCATTTATCTTTTTATTAAATCATAACTGTGCATGTTAATGCATTTATGGTATACAATGTACTGATTTGATATATAGTGTGGAATACTTACATCAAATTGGTTAACAAAACCTTCATCTCACTTACATATTTGCTGTGTTACATTGTTCATGCTTTAGTTTTTAATGTTTATTGTTAGGAGCTCTGAGTTGAAGTAAACTATGCTTTCTTTTCTTTGATGGATTAAAGAAGAATGAAGAGTAAAGATAACAGACCACCAGGGTGCTGGATTGCAAATGCCTTTGCTACTAATCAGAAGATGCCAAAATGAGGAACAGAGAGATCTAGCAGCCCCCAGTGATACACAACAAGTAACCACATTACAGAGGCTGAGACAGAACTTCTGAGTCTAACCTGGTCGGCTTTCCAACAGACTTCATCCCCTGAGTTGTCTACATGTCAGACTTACATCTGGCTATACAACTACAATTTCCAAATTGTTACATTCCAGCCAGCCCTACACCAGATGCAAGGCATCATGCAATATGTAGGCAACACAATGCTGAGAACATTTTATGGAAGCTACCCTGAAGCTCGGAGTCTATTAAAGGAAAAGATTGCAAAAAACAGTGACAATTACAGCAGCAAAAGAAGTAACAGGGAAGTGAGGAGAGATTAATTGTGATGGGGCAGCTGGGAGTGGATAGTGAGGATGCTTCTAATTTTACAAAACAACTGAATTGTTTTTAATAGACAATTATGGGCATTCCAAGCTGAATAAAATAGCATGGTAAGATGAAACAGCACAGTTTATTCAGGGAATGACAAGTAAGTTGTTTGCATTTCTGAAGTGTCAACTGTAGATGGGAAGCAGCAGTTGGTGAGGGTGAGTCATAAAAGGTTTTATGTGCTAGCTTAAAGACTGCGTTTTAAAAAATAATATTTAGGTAACAGTGTGGTGAGTGGATTTGCTGAGAGTCAGGGTAAAGAGGGGCATATCATTTGAAAGGCTCCTGAGATTATCCAGGGGAAGGAGGGTTGAATCCATACCACACAACAATCAACAATGGATTAAAAAATTGAGAATGTCAAGTATCCAGTCCAAAGAAGGAATTAGCAGGAGGTTTGGAAAAAAATGAAAGTGAAATTAAGCAAATATGTTAATTTAATCTTGGAATAACAATTAACCTAAAAGACAGTAGCAGATACTCCTAGCATCCCTTCCTTACATCCTCACCCTCACCACTTGAGTACTTACAGATCCCCCTGATTGGTGCTGACATCTCATTTATTCTTTTTCTTTTTTGTTTAACTGATGGTTTTTCTCTAGCTTCCAGAACTCTTCGTCAGCTTGCTCAGCTTCCTGAATTGCTCCATACCTGCCCATGAGCAGACTGCAACTCCTGAAGAACAGGAGGTGGTGTACACGTACCTCCTGTTTCCCACTGGACGGGAAAACACTGACACTCAGACTTCCCAGCGGGATGAAGCTCCAACTCTCCAAGGGAAACTTCCTTGAATAATAAGGCTTTTTGGCTGTGTTCCTTTCCCTGTTTCACTTCTCCACTTGCCTAGTGATATTTCCCAGAATCATTTTCCAAATGGGGAAGCCAAGTCCAACCCAAAGAAAGTCTTTACATAAAACATAACAGGTATGTATGTGTTACTGATACAATTAGGTACAATTATCTGGTTTCCACACTGAGATGGATCCTTAAGCCACCTAAGAACTGAAGTAGTTATCATTGAACTTGGAAATTGTAAAGTATATTAGGTATGGCATCAAAAAAAAAAAAAAAAGATATGTTTCCCAGTTACATGAAACTCTTGACTGACTGTAATCTACCAGGAGTTTATGAAATATTTCTTCCTCCCATTTTTAAATGATGAAAAATTCTAAGAGGTCAAGAGCCCTCCAATATTTGTAATAGTACTTAGAATTATTGATGTTCAAATAAGAAATGATAGATTTTAAAATTATCACTGAATGACTACTCCTTTCCCTCATTTTTATTTCAGCTACTTTTTTTTTTGAGACAAGGTCTGACTCTGTCACCCTGGCTCAAATGCAGTGGCATCATCATAACTCACTACAACCTCTAACTCCTGGGCTGAAAGGTTCCTCCTGCCTCAGCATCTTGAGTAGCTGGGATTCCAGATGTGTGCCACCATCTTAGCTAATTTTTTCAATTTTTTATAGAGACAGGGTGTCACTGTTGATCAGGCTGGTCTCAAATTCCTGACCTCAGGTTGGTCTTGGACTCCTGGACTCAAACTATCCTCCCACCTTGGCCTCCCAGAGTGCTATGTTAATAGGCATGAGCCACAAGCCTGGGCCTCGCTTTTCCTCGTTCTTTAGGCCCACTGATTCCTAGGAAGACAGGAGTCTCTTCTTTAAATTTCTGTTACTGACATTATAGTTATATTTATTCCTGCTCATCTATACTCATACGTTTGTTGAGGTCATCTATGTCTTTCTTACACCTAATATTCTGTCATGAGAAATTCATCATATTATTGTCATAATCATTAAAAATATTAAATTGAGTATATTTATCATAACAATTTAATCATTTAAAAATCTTTGAACTTTTTGATATTTCTTGATAACCTTTTAATGCATATGCAGTAGAACCTCCATAGCTGACCACCTCCCTAGATTGACCACCTCCTTAAGTTGATCTAATTTTCACTGACTGGACATGTACCACATGTACATATCAGCACAGTAGGCCTAGTTCCTTATGTTGACCACCTCTGTATATTGATCAGTTTGCTACAGTCCCTTGCATGGTCAACTTGCAGAGATTCTGTAGTTATTTTCTGCATTCAGGCTATTCTTTAGGGTAGATCTCCACATGAGCTAACGGAATAGGGATTTTCTTGTCTCCGGGGCCCTTTCTAAGTATTATCTCTAGTAAGTTTCAACTATTAACAATACACTGTCCTTGCCCTTTATCTTTGGCACTCACATTCCACCTTTTCCTTTGACAAGTTAACCACACATAACTTTGCATCCATTTCCTCCACCCTTGAGTCACTGCGTTTTATTCTTAGAACTCCATTTCAGTTCCTATCCCTGAGTCACCTTCCCCCTATTAACATTAAACTCCGAGTCCATGTTTTCCATGTAGATTAACCAGGCAGAAATAGTGCAGATACGTTGGCTATCCAGTTTCAAGTCATGACAATATAATTTTAAATTACTCTTCCTGGACTTCCAATAAACTTCTTTTTGAAACTTGACAAAAATTTTGCCATCTGTCATCTTTAACAGCTGATAAAGCCAAAGCGATCAAGGACTCTTTAGTATTTATTTGGAATAGTATATCACATTAAGTCTGTCCAAAGAGGAAATAAAAACAAGTGAATTTGCAAGGTAGGAAAACTGAAAACTCTAGACGTGAAATACCTACATTTCTACATAATTCTACATAATTTGAAATTCTATATAATTTCAAAACCAGCCCAGAGCAAAAGTCATTCGCTACTTTAGCACAGTGGTTCTCACATTACTGTACAGATGAACAAACTAGGGAAGAAGTTTTCATATGATTTCATATAATTCCCAGAGCTCATGATTCAGCAAGTCAAGAGTGGGTCGAGGCAACTGCAATTTTAATACATTCACAAGGACCATATTGTGGGAAGTACTAATTTGGTCTTACCTTTGATACTAGAGTGTATATATAATAGATGTTGGTAAACAAAAAAAGGTTAAAATAAAATGCATTTAATTCAGCACAGCAAAATCTTCAGTTTCTAGATGTTGTCTATAAAGTACAGTGTAAAAAGAGTTGGTCACTACAGGGTAAAACAGGATGCTCGCTACGACTTGTTTGGTTGTTATTCTGGAGTGTCATATACATGTAGAGTGAGCTGTGACTTACATTTTCCTTCTTCGTTTCTGCAGAGAACTTTTGTTTCATCTGTGTTTTGTATAACTTCAAGAGATTCGCCAGGTTTTACTGGTAGATCTCTGGTGCCCCACTTTTTAGAAGTTAAGGACAATGCAACTTTGGTTGAATAGAGGACTCTAATTTCACCATCATACTAGGAAAAGAAAGCAAAATGTTTAAATTATTGGTTGGTCTGTATTATAAGAGCAATCATTTCTTGACAGAGTAATTATTAAAATCTTTGCTAAATAGTTCAATGTTTTCAAAAGATAAGTAATAAATTCCAGAAAATTTTGGGGGGGCAAACCACTCATAACCTCACAATATAATACAACTATTTTTAGTATCTTCTTATCAAGGTTCAAAGGACAACTAAATTTAGGTGATTATCCCAATATGTATTTATGCATGTGTTAGGAATAAATTTAAATGTAAAACAAATTTTGTAGAAAATAAATTTTGTACAAATTGATGTATAAATGATGGCTGTCTATAATATTGATTATTACACTTTTAAACTGTGCATTTTGGAAATTAAGAATCATAGGGTTTTTTCATGAGTGCTTTGAACTTTATATAATATTTAAATATGACATACTTTAAATTTTTTCCTGAAGTCTTTTTCTTCCTTTTCTTGCTTTTTTAGCTTCTTGGGGTCTTTTTCTTCTGTCTTAGCCTTTCCAATATTGATTCCTTGACTAGAATGGCAGAACACACATGAAAACAACACTTTGTTTAGAAAATATAAAAAGAATAGTGGAATAGTGTCTAAAATACATTTAATGCACATTACTATTTTTTGCTAAATTTTATCTTCAATTCTCTTTCTTAGAAATCTAGTGCTACTTTTTGTAATAAATGATGACATTTCATAATACACAAAGGAATTTTCAAGACCATACAGATTATGAGAGTTAGAATGGAAATGAGAGACTCTCTCTTGTGCTGAGCCATATGAAATGACTGAATTATAGTTTACACCCGGTTGCCTATCTATGGTTTCATATGATTCAACCTATTCTTCAACCCCTCTATATTTTCAGCCCTTCCTAAATAATGAAATGGTTTGACCAATGTCATAGAAAAGGCTTGTAACAAAAGAATACTTTATAAAAACTTATTTTTATGCCTTTATAAAGTTTGTATGTTAACTTTTTCACATCCACTTAAAATGGAGCCAGAGTATTGTTTAATGAAAAAAAAAAAACATTAGATAAAAGTTTTTTAGATTTTATAAGAAGGATTTTTTTTCTTTTTTGAGACAGAGTCTCACTCTGTTACCCTGGGTGGAGTGCCATGGTGTTAATATAGCCCACAGCAACCTTAAATTCTTGGGATCAAGTGATCCTCTTGACTCAGTTTTTCTATTTTTAATAGAGACAGGGTCTTCCTCTTGCTCAGGCTGGTCTCCAACTCCTGAGCTTAAGGAATCCACCTGCTTTCAGCCTCCCAGAGTGCTAGGATTACAGGCATGAGCCACGACACCTGGCCCCAAAAAGACCTTCTTAAAGAGGATGACTAACACTCAGTCTTTCTCTTTGTGAAATCATCGCCCCAGAGTAGCTCTCTGATGCTATCAGAATCTGCGTGAAAGTTAAAAATGCCCTATAAGTTATACGTTTATTGAAGTTTATTTAAAAATAGAATGTTATGTTAGAGAATATAAACTTGTTTTAAACTCTGAAAATAAGAAATGGTAATGAAAACAGTCCATAGTAAACAAAGTGTAGTTTATTTTGCTTGAAGAAAAGGCCAGTGTGTGGCTCTGGATTTCTAGAGAGTTTTTTCATGGAATGTGGTGGGATTTCTACAGTAACACAAAATTAAAAGTGTATTAGAAACTGTCAAGGACTGAAACATGAGTGGTGGGAAATATTAAAACTAGAATATAGTCCTGAAGATTTGATTTTTGTGCATGGAGAATTGAAAAAGGAGAATGATTCTCTTTTCATCTTATTTGTTTTGCCTGTGGAACTTGGTCTTCAGATATAAATGACTGCATATTTTCCCTTCAAATTCTTGGATCTTGATTCTCTTAAAATATTAGTTGAACAATGTTGGTAAAAAATAAATACTTAGAGTTCTCTCACGCTTGGTAGACACCATTTACTGTATTCCATTTACAGTTACTCTCATCCTTTAACTAATCACCTCACATATTTATTGGTGTATGAGAGGGCATCTTACCATGTTTTTATTTCAAAATTTTTTTAAGAGGGTCTCCTTTTATAGTAATCCATCTAAGCTGATTTTTCATACATTTTTTGCCTTAAATTAAACTGAAACTATTCACTGTTGGCTGTTTTTTTAATTTTTTATTATTTTATTTTATTTTTTTGCAGTATTTTTGGTCAGGGGCCGGGTTTGAACCTGACACCTCTGGTATATGGGGCTGGCGCCCTACTCCTGAGCCATAGGCACCACCCTGTTTTTTTATTTTTAATTTGAATGGAACCTTTGAGATTCTGATGCTTTTATGAAAAAGAGACATAACTAAAAGCCCTTTAAAAAAATCTCTCTTTTTTTTTTTCCATAGAAGAGACCATCTTTTGGAGGACAGAGATGATTTGAACAAGAGAAGTGAGGGCTGAGATATAAGCTGAAATAGATTCAAGACAAAAAGGTTTGGGAAATATAACAAAAATAAAAGGAGCAGATGACTCAGTGAGATCAGGTGGGATCAGTACATCAAATATATCTTACCAGTGAATGGATAGATAAATGAACACACACATCAGTGAGTCACAGAGCAGAGGTCAACCAGGAGACAAGGAACAGAAGGAGAGGCAGGAGGAGGGAGAGGATAGGGGAGGGCAATGGAGGGCTTAGGGGAGGGGTAGGAGGATTAGCACTGGCCACTTGCAAAGCCAGCAGGGGTTAGAGCTGTGATCAGAAAGAAATGCAGCTTTAGAGAGGACAGAGCAAATGTAATTGCACACAGGAGAAGTGCATCCCAATGTGTTTTCATTTCAGTTGAATTTTCTTGGCAATCTCATTTTCATTACTTCATGGTAATGAAAACATTTTAATTACCTCATCTCTGCTGATGGAGCAGGGAAATCAGAGGTATCCACATCATCATAAACTTCATCTCCCATGTCTAACAAAAGATAGGATACCAAAGGTTGAAATACCATTAATTTAAATTTTGATATGAACATTCAATTATTATTATTATTTTTTTAAGACAGAGTCTTTCTCTGGCTAGAGTACAGTGGCCTCACTGCAACTACAACCTTCTGGGCTCAACCTCCCAAGTAGCTGGGACCACAGGTGCACTCACCACACCTGGTTAATTTTTCTATTTCTTGCAAAGATGGGGTCTTATTCTTGGCCAGAATGGCCTCAAACTCCTGAGCTCAAGCAATCCTTTCCTTGCCTTCCCAGAGTGTTAGAATTACAGGCACGAGCCCACGCCCAGCCATCAATGATGCTTAAGATTGCTTCAGGGCCAATAAAAGAAATTTGGGGGGTATTTGGGCACATTTCTCCTGAAAGCACTCTGTGTTCTTATCTCCCTGGATGCATCTGGTAAGTTTTCCTCAAAAAACCAGCAACCATGATTGTAACTATTGTTATCTGGGGAAGAAACCGCACAGTACAGTGACTGTGATTCTTTGAAGATCTTCAAGTGTGATGATTAGAAGGAGTAGCAAACTGCTGACAAACAAATCAACATTAGTGGCCATTGTCAGAAAGAAATGGAGTATTTCTCTTAATGAATACTGTTGATCTGAGCAGGTGTTGAGAAACAGTATTGGCAGAAAAGCGGCTGTGACCTCAACTGGGTTCAATGGCTTTTCCAGTCTGTAGTTATTTCTCTTCCTTCTAGATGCCTTGTTAATAACGTCAGGAAGAATGCTTCTTCTCTCCACCTATTGAGTTGCTCCACAGCAAATTAAGTGGAAGATATGAATTGAAGAGATTGCAAATATTTTAAGAAATGATTACCATAAAGTGTTTACCATAAAATGTTGAGATGCTGTTTGGCAGGGCAAGAAATTGATTTCCTTCAACATCTCTCCCCACGCAGACATAGATGCATGCGTGTGAATTTTGATTAATTAATTTCATAGCATAAAGCTTGCTCAATTATATGGAAAATCCATAATAAACACTTTAAAAATATCATTAGTTTCTAGAGAGTAAAAAAAAAAAAGGAGACTACTACTCCCTGAGCATGCACTTAAAACGCTTGGAAACAGCAATAAAAAGTTAAAATAAAAAACCCATTTCTTACCCAACTGATTACATTTGTTTCATTTTATAACTACTTCTTGTGGAGCAAGGTTTTGAATACTTTTTGAAGATTATAGATTAGAACACAAGCATATCGTCAGGTACTGATCAATCTGAGTTAGTCGCTTAACATATTTTCCAAAAGATAATTGAAAGTTTTAAGGTCAGATAAAGAGTATGGATGAATAGGTTATCTTGTACTGGTTTGCTCATTGAGTAAACTTATAGGTTAAAATAAATAAACTTTTTGAAAGCACTTGAATATTCTTATGAGACAACTTATTTTTTTGTTCAACATAAATTCAAAAACATCTTTTAAACATCTGTCTCAGCAGGGATACAAAACAATTGAAATTATACAAAGAAGAAACTGTTACATAAAAAAAAAAATTCCAAATATAACATTGATTAACATTTAAAAAAGTCAAAAAGGTTTAAAAGTCATATAATCCGGCATGTTTTTAAGACATCTTTATGCAGGTATATTAAGCTTGGCTATGTATTAGGGTGAGGGAGATGAAGGGGCTGTTGGTGCCTGTCTCTTGCATTGATTCCTAAGTCCATAGCAACTCCTGGAAGAAGAGTTTAAAAACCATCAGTATTTAAAATTTTTCTCATCCTGCTATTTTATTGTTGAGCAATGGTGGCCACCTAGGAGATGTGACTTGCCTGAGGTTACACACTTAATTATTTTCAGAGGCAAGACGTTAATACAGATACTGTGACTACATTCAATACTTTCCCACTACTCCACCTACCAGAAATGAAGTATATACAATTAGCTTTTATTACTTACCCAATTGTTTAGGAGGAGGGGGGAAACTGGAAAGAAAATGAGGACACAGAATTATAATCAGACTAATATGAACAGGGAAATTGATTACTTTACATAGGATCAGGATGAACAGCCAACAGCCTGAAGGCTGCTGACCATCATTCCTTTCTCATTCTCCATTTCTCCGCTACAGCCAAGTTTTTGTCCATCAATTTGGAATTTAGCAAAATTCTTTTTGAACCATGATGTTGGCCAAAAATGCCAACAGTCCAGCAAGACACTCAATTGGTTTATTTTACTCACAGACTTTAGACCAATGTTTTCAGATTCGTTCTGTGAGGTTTGCACATAGTATCACACCAGAGTAAATTTAATGGACTCAGTATTTTTCAGTTATTATGGCATACATATCTCTGGCCAAGAATGGTTGTTTGAATTAAAGAGCAAAAACACAAAGGCAAAATCAATAGAGGTCAAAGGAACATGACCACATTTTCCCAATATGTATGTATACCTTCAGGAGAATGGTGAATAAGAGGAATATTCACTTGCACTAGACAGTGAGAGCTTATTAAGAGAAGTGATTTGATATCAGGATTAGATGGTATTTAGTTGCAACAAAAAAGACCTTTGCTTGTATTATTTTCTGAACTATGACTTCTAAACACACACACACACACACCTTCCCCCTCCCAAATAAAAGAATGGTGTACAGGACAGGAATAGCTGGTTAAAGTAGTGGTGAGGGATTATTAATTCAAATGATTCAAAATCAGAATTGAGTGGTATATAATCAAAGCAGGAAGAAAATCTTTTATTTCGAAGTAAGGATTATATTTGCATAATACTGTTTAAGAGAAGATTTCTCATGCTTTCTTAACATTTCAATTCTACTGTTCAACAATTCAATTGAACTGTAGTTTGGGGGTTTCACAAAAGGGTTTAAAATTAACAAGGCTAACTAGAATTAGCATCTTATAAAGACTTTAGTTAAATGTGGCGAATTCATTAGGAAGTCATAAAAGAGAAAGACTTTCCTGTATCAGGAAACATGATTAAGATCCTTCCAACTCGTATGTATGGAATTTATACTAACTGCTTATTTGGGGGATGGAAAAGAAAAATATGGCTTAATTTTTATTTAGATGAACTTAAGATGTTTAGAATAATTTTAATAGGAAAAATATAATTCTAATAATATTAATACGTCATTATTGTGGAACAGAGTTATAGAGATGTTCAATATTGTAGTTAGGGAAAAGAAATTATAAATCATGTCCTTTATTTCCCACAACTTAGCTTTGAAAAGAAAATGAATGTTTTTAAAAGAGGTCAATATAAAACACTATGTAGTTAAAGGTAGAATTAAAATTGTGAGCTTTTAAATGTAATGCTATAGTTTAAAAAATCCTACTAAATGAAGCGTGTGTGTATGAGTGTATGAGGGTGTGTGCACACACTGTGTAACTGTGTGCTTTTGTACATGTGTGTGGGGAAAATAAAATATATCTTTGAACTCCATGATTTTTGAATACTTGGACTCTTCTTCAGTAATGCAGTAATTTAAAGAATGACACTATAAAATGAGGCTGATTGATTAATGGTAAATAACGTTAAGATGGTTTAACCCTATCAGAATTTGGTTATTCGTTATAGAATATTAGTAGCATTTGATTAAATATTAGTGTAGTTATTGTGCACCAGATTTAGTTGGTTGACTCTTACGATGAACCTTCATTATTGTCTGACTCAGAGACTTTAGGTTTCTCTCGTATACTTTTCTTTTTGTCATCTTTCCCCTTTAACATCTTCAAAATCCCCCAGGACCACGTGTTACTCTTCTCTTCAACCTGTAGCGTGGAGCTTTGGAGCATGCAGGCATTGATCAGAATGTAGTAATTAGTGGTATGTGAAGACATTGCATGGACATTCAGATTCTTTATATTTACACTGAATTAATCATTCTGGCAGGAAACACATTCAACAAGATGATGCTATCACATTTATAGATTGGGGTGTCTGAACACTGCTCCTACAAGGCTGATCATTTTTTTTTTTAGGTGAGAGTTTTCTGGGTTCTTAAAATTTGAAGTTGTCAGGGAAAAGTTTTAAACATCAGTTTAGCTTTATTTATGGTTAAAATTAAATAAATAATAGAC